TGTGGGGGTGGCGGTGCGTTGGTGTTAGGCCGACGTTCCTTCGGTTGCGGGTTGTGGTTGACTGCTTGGGGTTGGGGTCGTATTCTTGGGGTGTGAGTACAGTTAGGCATTAGGCAATTTCTAGACCGGCTTCTCGGGGCACCGTCCAGTGTAGTGGTCGACTGTGGTGCGCCGGCGCGTATCTTGGTGTTTTGCCAGCAAGGGCAATTTGTTGTTTGAATTTAGTTTTGTTTGTTCGTGTTTGCATTTTTGTTTTTATTATGTTGTGCTTTATTTTTTCACTCTCGTTGGAGTGTCTGTGTTCTCCACTAGTGTGAACTTTTGTTACTCTCCCTCTAAGAGTATTCCAATGTTTTGTGTTGTTAATTTTGTTTTAGCTGAGTGTTGGCTGTTTATTCGGATGAGTGGCTAATTTTAGTCTTGTTTGTTTTGTGAATATATGTCATTATTATCATTTTTTATTTTTATTTTTATAGGAAGACAAAATAATGTTGGGGAATATAAGAGAAACAGAAAATATGACAAAAGATGCATCTCAGCTCTCAAGCTACGCACATATTTTAATGACACGAAACTATTTTCTTTTTTTTTTTTCGGTACAAAGTGAGGAGGCCGAAGCCTAGAGCCACTAGATAGTGGTACTCCGTGGGTAAGCGACGCCTATGACGTCATGCGTTAACCACGGCTTTACTTCTATCGGTGGGTCGAGTAATCACTGACATCCATTAGGACACGAATGAGCTAACGTTGCCAAACAATCAGCCGCATAATTTACTTCACGGTAACAGTGCACTATGCGCACTTGCCAACCTCGGTGCAGCATCTCCCGAATAGCCCGGACTATAGAGCCATGCACCCCCCAACTCTCATCCGTCGGCCCCATAACCATCCTTACAACACTTTGGTTGTCCACATCCGCGACAACATTCTGATGCCCCAAATCCCAAGCTAATTGGAGTCCTTGGAATAAACTCCATAGCTCGGCACCTGTGATAGTAGTGTATCCAATGTTCATGACAAATCCCCCTAGCCACCGCCCTCCAACATCTCGCACGAGCCCCCCCGCCGAGGCCATGCCCGTTGACCGAATGAATGATCCATCCGTATTGATTTTAACCGCATCGACTGGTGGAGCACTCCAAGCTATCCATCAGATTTGTCTTCCTACGCCCAAACCTCCCAAAATCCTCTCAGCCGAAACAGCCACATCAATGCTATTCACTGTTTTGTCCACTTCCCTGACCTTCTGTTGGACCACAAATTTTTTATCAGCAAGTAACGCCTCATTACGTCCATTCCAAATTCTCCATGCAGTGACACCAAATAATGTCTCTCACCCCTCAATGTTCACCAGCTTCTTGTTAGTTAAATTATTCACCAACCAATCATACAAATTAAGGCTGAAAAAAGGGCCATGATAATTAACTGGTAGTAAGTGTTGCCAAACCTTTCTTGCTCCTTCACAGTCCCGCAAAGCGTGGAGGACGGATTCCGCTACTAGCACACATAACATGCAGCTCGGAGAAGTTGCTAAGTGACGTCGAAATCTCTCTACGTTTGTCAAGAGTCTATCCTGAGCCGCCAACCAAAGGAATTGGCTTACTCGTTGAGGACCAACCAGTGCCAAATAGACTTTCACAAAGCTCGGTTAGACCGCGTCTCGGGTTCACATAGCGAGGCGTAGGCTGATTTAGTAGTGAAGAGCCCATTTTCCGACAATCCCCAATAAACGGTGTCTTCTCCAGTGGACTTGTGTGGAGGTAGAATCGAAGCAATTCGCAGAAGTACTCCAGCCGGCAACAGGCTCGAAAATAAGCTCCACTTCCAGTCGCCATCATCTGTTACAAAACTCGCCACCGAAAGCTCCCATTGATTCTCCGGGATAGGTCCCGTCGCAAGTAAAAACAGCGGTGTCGAAAGATGGCACCATTTGTCACGCCAGAATCTAGCTGAAAGGCCATTACCGAGAGACCATCGAACCCCTTTCATTAATGCCGACCACCCTTTACCAATGGCCCTCAACACCGAGGATCCTTTGGGAAAGATAAAGTCGTCACCCATTGCTTTAGGATTGAGTTTGTATTTTGCTGCAATAAGCCTAACCCACAAGGTATTCGGCTTAGTCAAAAAAGTCCAGCCCAATTTCATTACGAGAGCTGTATTCATCTCTTTTTGCCACTTCAGCCCCAATCCTCCAGCCTCCTTGCTTTGGCATACATTCTCCCATGACACGAGAGGAATTTTCTGTTGAGTGCCGCTTCCTCCCCATAAAAAAGTACAACACCTTTTCTCCAGACTTTCACAAACTGACGTGGGAAGCCATGCGGTCTGCATGGTGTAATATGACAGTGTACTTACAACCGACTGAGCCAGGACGCATCGTCCTGCCAAAGATAAGGACTTGGCCTTCCAGCCCGCCAACCGGCGGTCTGCTTGATCCACAATAGATTCGTAAGTCTGTTTATTAACTCGATCATGAATGAGAGGGACGCCAAGATACTTTCTGAGCCCTTCAACGACTGTAAAATTCATTAATCTCGCTAAGTGTTGTTTGCGCTCCTGGGGAACATTTTTCGAGAAGAATACATTCGTCTTGGAGTGACTCACTTTTAAGCCTGACTGAGCACAAAATTCATCCAGCACATGCTTGACTAAATAACCTTGATCATCTGAAGCTTCCAGAAATAATAATAAGTCATCGGCAAACATCAGGTAAGGGACCCGGACCACTCCATTTCCCACATGAATCGGCTTCCACGAACCATCAATAACTCGGGACTGAATCAAATGAGCTAGTCGTTCAATGCAAATGACGAACAAATATGGCGACATGGGGTCCCCCTGACGCACACTCCGAGAGGAGAAGAATGTGTCACTAACCTCCCCATTAAATTGAAGTTGCATAGAAGCTGTAGTGACACAAGCCATAATAGTGCTTACCATCTTGACAGGGAAGCCTGCTGCTCGAAGCGAGTCCTCAACAAAATCCCATCTCAAAAAATCGTACGCTTTCTCCAAGTCTACTTTAATCACCATAAAGCCCCGGCGACCGGTTTTTGTACGCATAGAGTGAATAAGTTCTTGGGCCACCACTATGTTGTCCGTAATATGACGTCCCGGAACAAAGCTCGCTTGTGCATGGCCTATTATTGAAGGGAGAACTGGCTTCATTCTGTTTACTAGCACCTTCGTTATGAGTTTATAGATTACGTTGAGCAGGCTAATCGGGCGGAATTAATTAATCGACTCTGGATTCTCCACCTTCGGGATGATCACGAGTAGAGATTTATTCAACTCCATGGGCAATGCACCATCCCGAAACACCTCGCGAATTAATTCACAAACTATTTTCTTTAGAGGATGCTTGGATACGAACTAACTTAAAACAATTCAAACATTTTTAACTCAATTATTTTTTTAATTCAATTTTAACTCAAATTCAATATCATCAACATTATCAGTAATATCAACCAATCATTTATACACATCACATCAACTTTAATTCACTATTCATCTACTCACATAATTTTAACTAACCATCACTTTAAATTATCTATGTCATAGTTTTACATCAAATCAACTTTAATTATTTTATGTTAAATATTATTTTAATATTTCCATTAACAACTAACTATACTATTTTTTTCAAAATTAATCAAATCAAACAAAAAAATTAAAACAAATAAAAAAAATATTATATCCAAACATTAAAGGTTTTTGCAAATATGCCCTCTCACTTTCGATTACGTTCTCACTTATCCCATCTTTATCACCGACCTACCCCTTTATCATCGTAGATAACATGATTGCTCTCTATCCACCGTCGGATCATATAACTTTTACGCTCCAGATCTAGTTACAT